TTATATTATATTTTGTTCTTCTATTTTATTTTTGGGCCGATATCACGATGCAGCTGAACCTCATAGTGAACCTACTGTTTTCAGCCTCCATAGCAGTGGGAATGCAAGCACGAACCACCACACCTGTACTCTGTTGCTGCTTCAGTGTGTTCGGGGTGGGGCCGGTATGCCATGTAGTCCCGCGGACCGAACCCTGGTCCCTGAGCTTGTCTAAACAGATGTTTATTCATCTGAACTAATTATCTGACCCTTACATTTTAGATATACTTTCCAAAATACTGACAATTGGAACAATTGGAAAAGGTTAAGGTGGTAACCACGGTATGCTATATGCTTAATCGCTCCCACTCCTCCAATGTTACCTGACAAGATGCACCCTCTCTCAATATTTATCTAATCTTTCAAAGGCATTTACCATGCTATTCTTCTTGTAATGTGAAATATTCTTTCTTCACAGGAAATGGAAGACTTTGTGCAGAGCTCTGGAGAGCATGGTATTGTGGTGTTTTCTCTGGGCTCTATGGTCGACAACATGACAGAAGAGAGGGCCAATGTGATTGCTTCAGCTCTTGCACAGTTTCCACAAAAGGTTAGAAAATGCACACCCATGCTACACCAGTGCACATTTAATTTGTTCAATTCTACATTGCGTAAAATTGCAGAAATTCCTATGTGATAATTAGTGTGGTAGCTCTCATATAGAACCAAGCTATATAAATGACAAGGCTAATAAAAGAGTGAGGATTTAGTTCCTAATTATTTTGATGCTACATTGAAATTAGAAAGAAATACATTAACATGTTCAGTGGGTGAAGGTTGTCACTATGATACTACTTTTAGGCATTTGGAAGTGATAAAACGAGGCCCAAAGAATAGTTCTGCAGAAGAAAAAACTGGAGTTTGATCCCCTGTGTACCCTGTTGAAACCCACCCCCGGGGCACGATGCAATGGCAACTGAGACTGGGCAAGGTGGCACGTGCCAGTAATCCCAGCACTTGGGAGACTGAATGCAGGAGTATCACAAGGTGACAGATGTGTACTGAATATGTATAAAAGAAAAGAAAACAAGTGGCAAAACCTGTACTGTCACATTGTCTTGTGGAATTCCTAAAGGCACAGAACAACCTAAAAGTGTTTCAGAAAGAGATGAAATCTGAGTTGTTAGCCTTGCTAGCATAAAGCAGTATGCAGGTATTGGAAAAAGTGAGTTTCTTAATGCTGTCTTTGATTCATAAAGAATCCTTGCCTTACAATTAGTTATAATTTTGGAATCGGCTCTGCAGTATGCTCTTCTAGAGAACACAGTGCATTAATACCATATTCTCCAGGTATGCTGCTTCTTTTACAATAGATTGAGACATTCAGGTAATTGAAAACAAGGAAAGTAAGAAAGATTGAAGCATAATCAAGCCTGAAAATGTAAGAGGTTCCCTATGTCTCCAGAAAATACAATTTGTACTAGTTTTCTGTTATATAGAATGCAAATTTAATTGTTACATATTTCTGAACTATTTTTCTATTTTCTGTCAAATATATTATTATTGGCATCAGTATGATTCTTAAGGCAACAGTCAGAAGTTACTTCTCACTTTCTCACATTTAAAAAAATGCATATATAAATGATGCTTCAATACATGTGTATGCCTTGGTAATTTCAAAATATTACATCATCTTGTAACTTGGTGTAGAAAGAATTTTTCTGGCACCTATAATTTGTTTGTTGTCCATGAGTATCATGGTCACTTTTTGGAAAAAGAAACATTATAAAGAAATCCAGGACCTCCAGTTTTCTTTTCTTTAAAGGTTTATTTATTTATTTTGTACTGTGGCTCGCCACACAGTACAGATTCATACTGATCATGTTTGCCTCAGCCTTCCCTGCGCTGGGATTGCACACGTGTGCCACCAAAACCAGTTACAGAGTCCCGCTCCGTGCAGGGGCCAGCACAGCAGTGCTGCGTATAAAAACATGCTCCTTGCACTTGGCAGGAAGGTACTTGGACCACAGATCAAGCTCCACAGTCCTTTCCACCTATTTTCAACAGTCACACAGAACTCTCCAGACTAGCACTAATGATGAGATGGTGAATTCATGTTGAATTTTGAAATGAAACTTTTCTAGGAGAAATACTTACTTTTTTTGTAATTAAAGCATGTTTTGTGAAATATATATATATATATATATATATATATATATATATATATATATATTTTACTTTGGTGATTCTTTCCAAGAGTTGATAAAAGGGTTGAGGGATAGCTCCATGATCTAAGCACCTTCCTAGCAAGCTCAAAGACCAGGGTGAGATTCCCAGAACAACATACTCTTCAGGGCGAGTGAACCCTGGAATGTGTTGGCCTCAAAACTTGTCATGGTGGTTCATGCCTATAATCCTAGCACTGGAGAGACAGACAGGTGGATCACTACGAGGCTGAGCTGTACAGCGAGATACCATACCAGGTAAATAAATGAATAAATAAAGGGTTCTTTTTAAAAAAAGAGCTCATAAGACTTTTTATTTTTCTGGAACCGGGGATTGAACTCAGGCCCTTGCACTTGCCAGGGAAGCACTTATTCCACTGAGCCATCTCCCAGGCCCAGCAGAAGGATTTTTTTTTTTCTCCGAATGCCTTCAGGACAGGTTTGGCTGCCTTGAGTTGTGGGAATTGAACCACAGCAACCTGAGCCTGACAGCTTTGTGGAAGCAGCCACTTAAAAAACTGAGCTAAGGGTCAGAACCACTCATAAGACTATTTTTTGTAAATGAAAAATGATTAAAGTGTAATAAAATATTTTTAGATTATTTTATGACTGATAGCATTAAAATACAAAATGCAATTTTAAATTGAAGCACTGCATGTTACATAAAGGACTTGCTTTTAACAATTTTTTATTTGATATGATTCAATGATGATTTCATTGCAATTTCTTAAAATGAATTTATCATTCATCATCTCATATGTGTCTCCATTTATTAAAAATAATTTAAGATGAAATAGGAAACTATGAAGAGAAAATATGTACATTGTATTTGTCTTTGTCTTTTTCACATTATTAAATCTTGATCTTGTTTTCACCATTAACATATAGACCACATTTAAATTAGTTATAGTTGAACATATA